AAAAAAAAAAAAAAAAAAAGACATGGCCTAGATGAGCAGTTCTCAAAGTATGGGCTGCAGAACCATGGGGGTCCACCAGATCCTTTCAGAGCATCTATAAGGTCATTACTATATTTTCATAGTACTGGTAAGATGTTATTGGCCTTTCACACTTTGTGGACATTTGCACTGATAGTACAAAAGCAGTGGTGGGTAAAATTGCAGCGGCCTTACCATGGATCTAGGCAGTGGCACCAAACTGTTCTAGTGGTCATTGTATTATTCACTCCCATGCACTTGCACGAAAAAAAAAATTTTCACCTAAGAATGCTATAACAATTGCTACATGTTGAAATAGTAAGATTACTAATTTTAGTAATTTTGACCTTTAAGTTTTGGTGTAGAATAGAAGAATATACACAATTATCTAGAAAAGCTATTAAAATTCTCCCTTTCCAGCTACATCTCTAAGTGAAGTCAAATTTTCTCTACTTCAGCCAAAACAGCACATCACAGCAGATTGAATGCAGAAGTTGATACGAAAATCCAGATGCCTTTTATTAACTCAGACGTTGAAGAGATACACAGAAATGGAAAACAATGCTACTCTTCTCACTAACTTGTTTGTTTTGATTCGGAAAACGTAGTTATTTTTTCATGAAAAAAACAGGCTTTTTCTATTAACATGTAATGAGTTTATTACTATTATTTTTAAACAAATGAATGAATAATTCTTTTTAAAATTTCTCAGTTTTAACTTCAGATAGGGTAAATATTGATAGATATAACCCGGATAATTTAAAGCTCATTGGGGTCCTCAATAATTTTTAAGAATATAAGGCATCCAGAGACCAACACATTTGAGAGCCTCTGGCCCAGATCATGCCTCAGAGGAGGAGTCAGTCTGTCTGTCTACCTGGAGATCTTGAGGGTTGACTCAACTTGAAGGGTAATACGGAGAAATGGGACTGAAAGCCGGGGATGGCCGATAGGTCTGTATGGGGGACAGTTGTACACCTACTCCTACCCTTTCCCCCAGAGCACAGGTGGTAGACCTTTCTAAGGTACCCATTGCCTCACTTGGCCCAGGACTGTCCTGGTTTTCCCACTGAAAGAGTCACATCCTGGGAAATCCCTCCCAGATGTGACAAGTCCTGGTGTTCCACCATGAGTGCAGGAGATTGGGGGGAAAAGACAAATCCTATAGAAGTCCCCCAAAATAGGGGCTAAAAGCAACACTATCTTTAGTGTCAAATAGATACGGCATAGATTATTTGCCTTCCACAGATGCTCTCATTGTCATTTCTCCTGATTGCTGCTGTTGGTAACCACGGTTTGTGGTTCACAGTAATGGATCATCATTGTATCAACATTGTGAGTGATGAGACTTAGGTGTGCAAATTCAGTGCATGTAACCTTGACTTTGCCTGCGGAGTAAGTGCTGTGCTTTGTATTGAACAGTGCTATTTTAGTTTTTCACGTTGTGAATATTGTGATCATGTTTTCTAAGAGTTGATGTAATCAAAATGAGAACAACTACAACGCTCACACCGCATGACCCAGACATCGCTGAACAACAGGCTAAATGGCTGTGTTATTTTAATGACAGACAGGAGGACACATCCAACTGGATCAGGGAGGGAAGAAACCAAAACAGGGCATATTGCACAATATGCTAGAAAGAATTTGGAAACGGTGGAGAAATCGATGCGAAAGCACATATGGAGACTGAATCTGAAATGTCTGGGACGAGACAGGCAAGTACTTCTAAATGAATCAAAAGTTTTTTATTTTCCAAAAAGACACCAGTGCTCAGTCAAAAGCAGTGGCTGCTGAATTATCTTGAGTATACCATGCAAACAAACACGCATTATTTTATCCTTCCCTTGATTGCTTGATGAAATAGAGTAAAGTAGTAAAACTCCGTATTCTCATTTAGAAGATGCAATTGAAATGCTCTTGTGGGCGAACAAAAGGGAAAATTTTGGTAAATTTTGCCTTGGTCCCTTACACAGTGGCACTCATACTGTAAGATCCTACCGGAGATGATGGTTTCTACTGTGTATCAAATGAAGCCTTGAATCGCAGCAACTAAAAAATTCTTCCCCTAGCTCTTAGATACTTTGATTTTTAAAATGGAATTTCAAGTCATCTTAACCAACAATCTTGTCCAAATAAAACTAGGCTTTGCTTATCTACCTGCATATTTGGCACACTGCACAAATATAAATTTTGGCATATTCTATTCGGTTTGTAAACTTCTTACCAGAGAAAATGAAAAGATCTTACCTGTTAAACGTCCACCACACCCTGCATGGAACACTGCCAAAAAAGGGATGTGATTTGCTTACCTATGATATTGAGGCTTTCATAATGAATGTTTTTGATTACTTTTCATTTTCTTCAAACTGTACAGAGGAGATTTTTGACATTATAAAAGTAGAAGGAGGTCTCTTCTTGCCTACAAGATGGCTGTCCTGTTGCCAGCCGTAGAAAGTAAGTTAAAAGGTTGGCCTGCCATAAAATCATATTTTCTGAATATAGGACAAGATGAATCTCCTTCTTTATTTGTAAATACGCAGAGGATGAGAATGAAGAAAAGGATTATAGTAAAACAGAGATTTATGTGCTGTTTCTCCAAAACGGTTTGATGATTTGTGAGGAGGCCATAAGGATCCCGGAAAAGGATAAACTGAATGCACCTGAGTTGTTTCATGTTATATGTAGGTTGCAATAAAATGTCAAACAGCCAAAAAATAATTCATTTTTTGGAAATAAGACTACTTGGGAACCAAAAAAATTGTTACCAGAAATGACCAGCCAAGTTAAACAGGACTTTCTCAATTGGTTTACTAAAACTGTAACTTATTTGGAATCCAGCTTTGATTTCACAAGTTCAAATTACTTCTGTGTTTTAAAAACCATTTCCCCCAAGAAAGAGTGAATGAATTTACGAGAGCACCCAATGTGCTTCAGAGTGTTTAAAAATGATGGATATTTCCAGTATGGATAGCCCAGATGAGGAATGTATAGATGCACAGGACCTGATTGACAAAGAGCTGGTCGTCCGGAACAAGCCTGTAGATACAAAGCAAATGAACATTTTTGGAGAACTGGGAACTAATTCCTACAAGTCTAAATTCCTGCTATGGCTAGTAAATAGAATCCTAACTATCCTACAGTCAAATGCCTTGTTGAGAGCATATTTAGCTTGATGCCATCACATTGGCCTGATACCAGAAACCAGTATAATGCAGACTAGATAAGAGCAGAGCTGTATTCAGTTTCACTACTACATAAAAGAAATGAAAGCTGTCCTGAAAGCTGCAAGCAGTCCTAGGAGGCATTATTGGAAAAGGAAGCAGCAAGAGTAAAAACATCCAATTATATCATGGGACAGAAAAAAATATGGCATTGTTATTTTTTATTAAATAAAAGTAATAACTATTTACTTATTCTGATTATATTTCCCTTTTAAAAAATCTTACATTTATATATCTTAGGAATACACAGTAATGTAACCTAAAAAATTAAAATATACAATAAATAGTTCCAAAAGAGGTTAAGATAAATTGTTGTATCAAAGGATAGAAAGAAACATTATAAAAATATTATTATATTTTCTCACATACAATATTTGTTTCATTACTATCAATTAGTTTTCTTTTTTTTTTTTGGTGAGGAAGATTCACCCTGAGCTAACATTTGTTGCCAATCTTCCTCTTTTTTTTTTATGAGCCACCACCACAGCATGGCCACTGACAAACAAGTGGTGTGGTTCTGTGCCCAGGAACTGAACCCAGGCCACTGAAGCAGAGCACTGCAAACTTTAACCACTAGGCCATCAGGGCTGGCCTACTATTACTTTTAATTTTTACTATTAATTATTTTACTATTAATTACTACTAATTGCCACTGTTAACTAGTCCTACTGTTATTTTGTTTAAATAATAGCATGTATGCAACAGAAACGTGAATATTACAGAATAACATATAGTTGCAATTAAATAACATACAGAGTGTTACATACAAATATTACAGAACAACAATAGTTTCCACTAAAAAATATGGAATCAGAGCCAGCCCTGATGGCCTAGTGGTTAAACTTGGGTGTTCTCCCCTCTGGCGCCTGGGTTCAGTTCCTGGGTGTGGAAGCGCACCGCTCATCTGTCGGTAGCCGTGCTGTGGTGGCTGCTCACATAAGGAGAACTAGAAGGACTCACAACTAGAATATACAACTATGTTCTGGAGCTTTGGGGATGAAAAAAGGAAAAGAGGAAGATTGGCAACAGATGTTAGCTCAGGGAGAATGTTTCCCAGAAAAAATAAATAAATAAATACAGAATCAGAGAATAAGACTTTATAGCTGGAAATAACAGATAGTTGCAAGTAAACACCTGTTATTCATATTTTGTTGTTAAATATAATACTTATAGGTATAATTATTTATTTTATATTATACTATTATGGGTTTTTCGGTTTTAATTTTTGTTCTTTGGTTTTGTTTTTTGTCTAGTACGACTGTGGTCCAAGTTGGGTCTCTAAAAAAATTGATCACCCTACCTTTACCACCAATACTGCACTATCTAGATCTCCTCTAAATAAATCAGATACATTTGGGGGGAAAGTCAGTTTTCTAGTGTGATTATTGGTGACCAGGATTAAGGCCTTCTTTCAAGCATGGAGGTTGAGGAGGCCTTCAAGCTGACAGCTGCTCCTCTCTCACTCGGCTAAAGTAACATCTGCTGGTTAACAGGTCCTGCTTTGCCTCATACAAAGCTCCTGGTAAGAATCCCTCCTGGAGGGAGGGGCCTCACCAAGACCCGGGCTACTCACACGGTACCAGAGGACGCCCACTGGGCTACACAGTCCTGTTAGAGTAAATGTGAACAGAAAGCCAGAGATCACCAGGAACGTGAAGAGAATCAAATATCTTCATTCTGAACAAAATGTAAACAGAGATTTAAATAAAGAACCAGAAGAAACAGAAACAACTCAGGGAACAGAGAAGCTTTAAAAACATCCTATTCAAAAAGATATTTTATATCCCAAAACAATAGAAACATGCAATTAAAAAATACATCATTGGGGCCAGCCCAGTGGCATAGTGGTTAAGTTTGCACTCTCTGCTTCGGCAGCCCGGGGCTCACAGTTTCGGACCCCGGGTGTGGACCTATGCACTGCTCATCAAGCCATGTTGTGGCGGCATCCCACATACAAAATAGAGGAAGATGGGCACAGATGTTAGCTCAGGGCTAATCTTCCTCAGCAAAAAGAGGAGGATTGCAACAGATGTTAGCTCAGTGCTGATCTTCCTCACCAAAAAAAAAAAAAAATAATACATCATCAGAGAATAAGAGACTAAATTTAAAGTATGACTGATGAAAGTTGGGAAAATTCAATAGAAGTGCCAGAGAGCAAAGCAGAAGAGACCTCTCAAAAATCTCAAAATGTGGTGGGAAAAATATAAAATATGAATGAAGAGACATCAGGATTAATCCAGAAAGTTTATATAATAAATGTCCCAGAAAGAGAGCAAGAATCTAAGAAATGATCAAAGAAATAATAAGAAATAGAATTTTCTCCAGATGAAGCGACTCTTCAGGTTAAAGGGGCCTACTGAAGGTACAATTCAATAAATGAAAAAGACCTAGACCTATTCATATAAAATCGTAGAACACCAAGGATAAAGAGAACATCCTAAGAACTTCCACTGAGGAAAAGGAAATTATCTACAAAGAAACAAATATCAGACTAGCTTTAGTCTCTTCAGCATCACTAGTGGCTAGAAAATAATTGAGCAATGCCTTTCAATTTCTAATGGAAATAATTTTAATTCTAAAATTCTACCAACTAGGAAATAAGTGACCAACCATGACGAGACTAAAAGTAATGTAATGCGTGCCAGGGTCAGAAGGTTTATACCCTAGGCATCCTTTCTTAGGAAGTTCTAGGAGGTCTCCAGGAAATAAAGGGGGAAAGGGAGGATGGAGATTCAATAAAATAAAAAATAATATTGAGAACTTAGAAAAAACTTAAGAAATAGCCAAAAAAAAAAAAAAAAATGAAAGAAAGACAAAGTACAAAGGACAGATCTTCCTTGACTTATGTTGGGGTTACATCCCAATAAACCCAACGTAAGCTGAAAATATCAGAAGTTGAAAATACATTTACTACACCTAACCTACTGAACAACCTAGCTTAGCCAGCCTACCTTAAATGTGCTCAGAACACTTTCCTTAACCTGTGATTGGATAAAATCATCTAAAACAAAGCCTATTTTATAATAAAGTGTTGAATAGCTCATGTAATTGGTTGAACACCGTACTGAAAGTGACAAACAGAATGCCTGTCTGGGTGCAGAATGGTTGTCAGTGTATCGGTTGTTCACCCTCGTGATCTCGGGGCTGACAGGAGCTGCGCTCTCCACCCTGCCCAGGACCACGAGAGAGGATCAAACCACATATCAGTAGCCCAGGAAAAGATCAAAATTCAAAGTACAGTTTCTACTAAATGTGTATCACTCTCACACCATTGCAGAGTCAAAAAATCATAAGTCAAACCATTATAAGTCAGGGAACATCTGTAATGAGAAATATAAAAAAAGAAAATCTAAATGCAAACATGGCCCAAATGAGAGGCAAAATGAATTATGGCATAATTTGGAGCAACAATAAAGTATGAGAAAAAAACCTTTATTTTGCTTTAGGAACGTTCTTCTTTGAATGATGATGGATCTACAGGTAGGAACACATCTCCTCCCTAGAGGTCACTTGGCCCAAATTTAGTAGCATTTCCTTAGAACTGTTTATTGGTTCTGAACTTTTAGAATCAACTTTGATTGTGATTACAGGAGAGAAAGTAAGTGTGAACAATCTGAAGATGGTAAACTTAAGTGTAACTGATAGAAGGTGGGAGTGGAAATGGAGAAAGGAAAGGGCAGGATCCCTGCTATCTTAATCATAAAAAGTGGATAGAGTTTAAAGTTGCTGAAACAAGAATTAATGATTAAATACATTATTCAAAGTTGTAAGACTAATCAGTAAAAGAACCAAAAATAATCACACAGATATTGAACAATAGAAGGTAGCAGGAAAGAGAAGCGTGGAGTGTACCTTAGCTAAAACCTTCTAGTGTATTTGGATGAAGGGATTAACAGCCCACCAAAGTGCTAAGAAAATTAAACTGAAAACATCTGCCTGATCAGCAGCCACAGAAAGAAACATTATCTAAACTTAAGCAGATCTTCCCAAAAATACAGCTGCCATTGACCCTCCCCAAGTTCAAGTTCAGTTTCCCATCAACATCAAAAAGATCAATTGAATCTTCTATATTTTCACGTTAAAGCCCTAAACCACCCCCATTGTTTAAGTTGTTATATAAACATTTACCTCTGACTATTCAGTGAGTTACTCACTACAGAGTACATTCACATGAGTAATAAACTTTTCTCCTGTTCATCTGTCTATTGCCAGTTAATTTGCAGGTCCCCAACTAGTTGGACCTAAGTGAGTAGAGAAAAAATTTTCCTCCCAATAGTTTTGGAAACAAAGACGGAATGGTTGGGACTCCCCCAGACACCAGCTCAGCTGTTGGGGGCTCTGACCAAGCCAGCAAAGTCAGCTTTCTCACCAATCAGACTCCCTGATCCCTGCCCAGGGTCTGGTTGAGTGAGGGCAGAGCCTCTTCTTGTCTTTTTTTTTTTTTTTAAAGGGAGATTGTCTAAAATTATATTTACAGAATAAGATTTTTGGTTAGAACTAGTTTTTCAGGCATTATGACTCTTAGATTTGGAGCAGTCCCTCCCAGACATAGCCATTGTCTCTGTCACTGCCTTTTGTGTTACTGTTTTATATTGTGCTGTCTAAAGTTGTTATTATTTTGTGTTCTGAGAGCTTGGCTTTGGAAGCCAGTGTCAGGGAAGGGGAAATTTCCCCCAGACCCCCTCTTGAGTTCTTTTGGCTGGTCTAATAATTAAATTTACACAAGACGAATTAAGAGGAGAAACAAGCATTTAATTTTTATGTATGGAGGTCTCATAAAAATGAGCCTGAAAAAATAACCAAAGCAGGCAGCTTTTATACTTTTTGAAGAAAGAAACAATAAATTTGTTTGAAATCAACATGACAAAGAAACTTAGGTTTGGGTGCTTAATTAGGAAAGAATCTGAGCAGACTTTGTTTACACAGCCTTCTTGGTCCTGGGTTTTCTCTCTCTAGCAATAAGGGTGTCTCTCTACCTTCTGGTGCAGGGAGGGTACCTTTCACGTGGAGATTTATTTCCTGCTTTCATGGGGACAGAGAAGGGAGGGTCAGAGTGTTCTTGCACCAGCTGTTTCTTAAGTAACTTTAATTCAAAATAATCGATATACCACTGTGGCATATCTTGGGATGGCCTCCTCTGAGCCCCAACGACAGAAAGAGTGTTCTCTCTGGCTTTTCCCTGCTAAGGGACACAAATTGTTGAGTCTATGTCCAGAAGTAGCCAATTGTCAGGTTGGGGACCTGAGCATTCTTATTGACTGTCACTGGCTCTCCTATGATTGTCTAAATTCAAACCCATTCCTATCTCATTGCTTTATAGTGATGAGTTGCCATCTCAGTATCACTCATCTGGTATCATGGATAGTGAGTCCGTGATTGAAGGCAGTTGACAGGGTCAGCCAATTCTTAGTCACACCCCAGAACTTATCATTAAAAATAAAATAGAAGGGCCGGCCCCGTGGCTTAGTGGTTAAGTGTGCGCACTCCGCTACTGGTGGCCCGGGTTTGGATCCTGGGCGTGCACTGACGCACTGCTTCTCCGACCATGCTGAGGCCACGTCCCACATACAGCAACTAGAAGGATGTGCAACTATGATGTACAACTATCTACTGGGGCAAAAAAAAAAAAAAGGAGGAGGATTGGCAATAGATGTTAGCTCAGAGCTGGTCTTCCTCAGCAAAAAGAGGAGGATTGGCATGGATGTTAGCTCAGGGCTGATCTTCCTCAC